AATAGATGAATAACTATCACATTAAATATACAGAAATAATTTAATTTAATTTAAATAAGCCATTTTTAAACTACGGGGTATTACATTCTCCCCCACTAATAAAGGAATTTCGTCCCCGAAATTCACTACATACCTGTAGTAAAAAGCTCTGGATACTTGGCACGGATAATATCTTCCCGTTCCCAAGTAGACTCTGTAGCACTATGATGACTCCACTGTACACGTACTAATGGAATAGTCTTCATGCGCAGTATCTGATTCCTACGATCGAGAATACAGTAAGGTTGTTCCTAATAGGTTGCATTGGGTTGCAACTCAATTTCACCCACATCAATGTGTTGATATCGATCTTCTTCCCGTAGAAATTTTCGCAGTATAGATACATGAAAATCATTATGTACCCTATTAAGATTATCTGGTAAAGTCAGACGATAAGCTACTGTCCCAATCCGATCTGTAATCATAAAAGGCCCACAAAACGAGGCGATAACTTACCCTTTGACCCAAACCGCATTACTCCCTTTATGGAAGAAACCTTAAGCAAAACCTGATCACCAACCTTAAACTCCAAAACACGAGTTCGACGGTCAGCATAACTTTTCTGTCTGCTTTGAGCTGTACGCATCCGATCCTTAATGATAGCGATCTTTTCTGACGTGTCCTTAATAAATTCAGGACCCAGAAAGCTGTTCTCACCAACTCCAAGCCAACAGACAGGAGACTTACACGGTCTACCGTACAAAGCCTCAAATGGTGCCATGCCAATAGTTTTCTGATAACTATTGTTATAAGCAAACTCTGACAGCGGCAAATATTCCTCCCAATTGCCCTTAAAATCAAGAACACATGCCCGCAACATGTCTTCTAAAATCTGATTAACTCGCTCAGTCTGTCCATCTGTTTGAGGATGATAAGCAGTGCTAAGATAAAGTTCTGTACCCAAAGCCTGCTGAAAGCTCCTCCAAAATCCTGATACAAAATTCGGATCTCTATCTGATATGATGGACAATGGTACGCCATGAAGTTTCACCATTTCTGCAATATAAAGCTTAGGATACTGTTCTGACGTAAAGTTTGAACGAACAGGCAAAAAATGAGCGGACTTGGTCAATCTATCAACAATGGCCCAAATAGAGTTATGATTATGATGCGAAGCAGGTAATCCCTCTATAAAGTCCATAGAAATACTCTCCCATTTCCACTCTGGTATGGGAAGTGGCTGTAGCGATCCTGGCGGTCTCTGATGATCAATCTTAATCATCTGACATGTGCTACATTTAGAGACAAAGATAGCTATATCTCTCTTCATGCCGGCCCACCAAAACTGGCGTTTCATGTCCTAATACATCTTGTCTCCCCCTGGATGTACAGAGAACTGAGAAGTGTGTGTCTCTCTCATCGTAACATTTCTCAAATTATCAGCTGAAGGCACAATTAAACGTCCCTTGTACCTCAATCCTCCATCAGTCCCTATAGAATAAAAAGGAACATCTCCGGAGGCTAACTCCGAAACCCGATCAATACACTGTTGATCTGAGAGTTGCGCTTGAATGACCTGATGAATGATAGAAGGAGTTACTACCACACATGCCATAAAAGCGTCTGCTAACTCATCAACAGTCTTCAAAGCATCCCACTCTATTGCAAACAAAGCTGAAAGGCTGACATAGGGTTGTCGGCTAAGTGCGTCTGCTACAACATTCGCTTTCCCTGGATGATACTGAATAGAGAAGTGATAGTCTTTCACGAACTCCAACCATCTGCGCTGTCTCATATTCAGTTCCCTCTGTGTGAACAAATACTGTAGACTCTTATGATCGCTAAACAATCGAAAAGTCTCTCCCAAAAGATAATGCCTCCAAATACGCAAGGAAAAAACCACTGCTGCGAGCTCTAGATCGTGAGTCGGGTAATTAAGCTCATGAGGCTTAAGCTTCCTGGACCCATAAGAAACTGGGCGCTCTTCTTGCATCAACACACAACCCAAACCCTTCAGAGAAGCGTCGGTAAATACTAAATACTCGATTCCACTCTGAGGTGTGGCTAAGACAGGTGCAGAAGTTAACTTACTCTTCAATTCAGCAAAAGCAGTCTGACAAGAATCATCCCATACGAATGGTACATTCTTCTTAGTCAGATGAGTAAGTGGACCCGCAATTTTGGAAAATCCCTGGATGAACCTGCGATAATACCCCGCCAATCCCAGAAAACTGCGAATCTCTGTCGGTGAGGTAGGCTGTCCCCACTCCATAACTGCCACAACCTTGGCTGGATCTACTGTTAATCATTCTTCTGACACTACATGGCCCAGAAATTTGACCTTTTTCTGCCAAAATTCACACTTCTCAAACTTCGCAAACAACTGATGTTCTCGAAGTGTCTGCATGACGGTGCGTAAATGTCTGGCATGGTCCCTCTCCGACTTAGAGTAAACCAGAATATCATCAATGAAAACAATGACAAACTGATCTAAGTATTCTCTGAATACTCTATTCATCAAGTCCATAAAGACAGTTGGGGCATTAGTTTAACCAAAAGGCATAACACGAAACTCATAGGATCCGTACCTTGTGAGAAAGGCTGTCTTTGGAACATCTTGTTCTCTGATTCGTAGCTGATGATAACCAGACCTCAAATCGATCTTTGAGAAGTAAGTAGCTCCCTTCAACTGATTGAACAAGTCATCAATTCTGGGCAACGGGTACTTGTTGCGAATAGTGACCTTGTTCAGTTCTCTGTAATCAATACAAAGACGAAGAGATCCTACCTTCTTCTTAACAAACAATACTGGTGCTCCCCATGGTAAAGTACTCCTGTGAATAAATCCCTGGCTGAGCAACTGCTGAATTTGATCTTTCAACTCTCGCATCTCCACTGGTGCCATTCTGTACGGCGCCTTAGTAATAGGCGTAGTGCCTGGAGCTAAATCAATGACGAAATCTATCTCTCGACTCGGTGGCAAGCCTGGAATTTCTTGGAATACATCCTGGAATTCCTGTACTATCGGGATACTGTCAAGAGATACCGCAGTCGCTTCCTGTGAGTCCTCCTCAAGAATGAATAAATAAGTGCTAGGCCCTCTATCAGGTTATGGTACAATAAGAAGATACATCTCCTATCCTGGTATAGCAAATACAATAAACTTTTCGTAACAGTTAACCTGAGCATGGTACTGAGATAACCAGTCCATCCCAAGTATAACATCATACGAATGCATATCCAAAACTAACAAATTTGCAAGAAATCGAAGTCGGCCCATATCTATAAGGATATCACCGCTATACTCTCGTAAAATTGCGCCAACTCCCAATGGTGTATAAATATTAAGAGGTTGGTCACATAACTGAGTCGTCATACCAGATAAGATAACAAAAGATCTAGACACAAAAGAATGTGATGCACCAGTGTCAAACAGTATATGAGCAGTTCTACCATGTATAGAAAACATACCCTCAATAGCCTGAGGAGCCTGCGCATTATGTAGCATGAAGTTATAAACTCTGCCATGATGCAACTGCTGTGGAGGTTGTCCTGGAGGAAATGGTGGTGCTAGAAGTGCCGGAAAATTCTGAACTTGCCCACGTGGCATCGGTGGGGCCGGTAGAGGTAATGGCTGATTAGGTCTCGGCTGCTCATACTGTCCCTGCTTAGCTTTGGGACACATCTTGGCCGGATGCCCAATCTCTCTACAGTGATAACAACGTCCTGTAAAAGGACCTGCCTGCCTCCTCTGTTGACTTCTCGAAAACTGTTCCTGTCCGGTCTGAGGTACCCCACCTTGTCTACCCTGATTAGGGACTCCATCCCTCTGCACATCTGGGTTTCCTTTGTTTTTCTTCCAAGGTTGATGTCCTTGAAATCTGCCCCGATCATTGGACTTGATACCACTGCTGCTTCCTTTCTCCACTGTCTGGTAGTCTCGGTTAGCTCGCTTATCTCCCTTGGACTTCCGGTAATCACTCCTCATCTGGCAGTGCTGTAAAGCGGCATTAACCACCTGGATATAAGTAGTATATGCAGGACTACCTATGATCACCATTTTAATCGGCCATATCAACCCCTTAACAAAGCGGTCTCTCTTCTTTTCTTCCGTATTGACCTCCTCTGGTGCAAATAATGACAAATTAATGAACTTCTGTTCATACTCAGCCACAGTCATATCCTCCTGTTGCAGATCCAGAAATTCAGTCTTCATCGCTGATCTTACTGACATAGGAAAATACTTGTCATCAAAGCGAGTCTGAAATTCAGCATAAGTCAATCTGGTCCTCTCTTCGACAGTAGTAATAGACTCCCACCACTGCAATGCATTGCCTATCAGCATAAACGTAGCTAGCATCTGTTTCTGCACTTCGGTACAGATTCATCCGAAGATGACGCTCGCTCTCCTGTTTCCACTGATATGTTAACAGGACATCTGTGGACCCCGCAAACGATGGTGGATTCCCTCTGATAAACGAGTGACGAGTTTTGTCCCATGACATTGGCTGTGCCACTGGTTCAGGAACAGGTACTATCGGAGGAGGTTGCTGGTTTCGTAGAGCAGATGCTACTCCTGCTGCTATAGCTCGTACAATAATATCAGCAACTTGAGGGGAAAATTCCTGATTCTCATTTTGAGCTGGGGAAATACTGCGATGACGGTTCGCATTCCTTGTCCCACGCTGAGACATCCTTTTTTCGGATTCAGAAAAATCTAACGTCAGTACATTATAATGGACCGACTAAAAGAATACAAATAACCCTAATACTTAGGCTCAAATTATCAGAATACACAACGCGGAAGTATAGTAATCACAGATCCCTAAGACACTCGAACCTGGAATGCTCTGATACCAACTGTGACACCCCCACATTTTCCACGCATAAGTTGATCAGGCTTATACACGAAAAACGAGGGATATCAAAACAATTGGCAACATACAAGCATGGAATACAAAATGATAATAATAAAGGAATGTAGACAGGAAAAGAACACTAAATAATACAACATCCATCCATCCTTTACTTAATACAGTACTCCATTACAACTTAGAAATCCTATGTCAAGGATCCCTAAATATAAACCTGAGAGTTCAACGTCAAAAGTAAATAAAAACTGAAACTGAAGTAATACATAAAACTTCTACCCTGAACTGGATCGTAAGAGTAGATGAGTTCGGATGGTGGTCCCACACTGCTAACCTCAACCTTGGAACGAGTACTGACCGTATCCTGAAATAACAACAATGGTGGGTCAACCCCACGAGCAAGTCTTCTCTACTATGACCCAAATCAGAGAATCAAATAAATTAATCATTATGAATTGGATGAGTACTATATCTGTATACATCCTAAGGGAACTATCCAATGTATAACATGACCTCAACCAGAATAGACGGTGATCACTTAGACTCACACTAGGTGGTTAAGTGTCGCCTTTTCCTACCCGGGAAATCAGCTATTATACATGGTGCACGATACTGACAACACAGACTATAACGAACTACACAGTGATAACACCTCTCAATGTACTGATGAATATACTGAGCATATCAATTAGGCAACACATGCCAATAATATTACTAAATATACTGAGTACGTCAATTCACACATGCCAATAATATTACTAAATATACTAAGTACGTCAATTAGGCAACACATGCCAATAATAAATATACTGAGTATGTCAATTAGGCAACACATGCTAATAATATTAAACCACATACCCCGACAGCCACACATCTGTCTATAGCAACGAATGCATAAGGTACAAATGAGTCGAAACTTATTAGCCAGCTCACATGGTTCTATATGGCAACACATCCATATAATATAAATGCGACATAATTAAAACAGTCCATTTATTCTCTGAAATGCACACAGCATAATAATCATGGTTTATATATGATTAACAGTATAAACATTCCATAATATAAAATGGATAATTTATATGACTAGAACCATGGCATTATTTAATTTAAAAGTAATGATTAATACCATTTAATAAAATAATAACACCATCTATATTTAACAATGTCGTTAAATGAATCACATTCATATCCGTACTGTAAACGAGCCAATAAATGCTTAGAAAAGATTAATTGGCCATAAGAATAATTAACGGGTAATAAAATAATAATTTCGTGACCTGTCAAACCCGTAAATACAAACACAGGCCCTAAAAATCAAAGTTTAAGGTTCTGAAATTCACAAAAATGGCCCTAGGGGTAGTCTGGTAATTTCCAGCAGCTGAAAGGGCCCTTCACGCGCCCCCACGCGCCGCCCTAAGCTTCCCCACACGCAGCCCAACCTTCCCCACTCTCCCACGCGCCTCCACGCGCGTCTGGCATCAGCCACGCGTGCGCACGCTCTCCCACGCGCGCATTTAAATCTCCTGCAGACGTGGCACCTCCTGGTTGGTTGGCTGTATTGACTGCTGTGGGTGCGCTACACAGGATCACTTCATCTCATCTTACTTAATCCAAGGGTCAATGATCCGGGTGTACCGCGGTAACATGGACCGCGATGCACCGGATCAATCAGATTCATCTAAGGCCCAGGATGCGCGCGCACGCTACCCTAAAGTACGCCGCATCACACCGGTCATCTCCCCCACATCCGGTGGCCGGAAACCTCGCCGGAGTCTCGCCGGAAATTACAGAAAAACCCCAAAAAAATCTAAAAAATTCTAAAAAAAATCCCTAAAGACTTATTTAATTATTTTCAGCCTTTAATAATTTCATAGGATAATAAATAAATATATACCATCCCATAAAATTAAAATTTCATTAATTTAATAAACTAAAATTAATAATTTATTAACCTCCTAACCTGGTCTCTATGCATATAAATAAACTAAACAATTAATTTATTAATTCAAAGGGGAAAAGTAGATAACAACTTGCCTTTTGGATTTAAAATAAATCCGCCGATTGCGCGTAGTCGGGTAAATTTCTCTTACACCGGTCCAAGCTCCTTTCTTTCTCTCTCTTCCTTTCCATACTTTTACAATGGCTCACTGAAAGCTATAACTTTTTCTAACTCCCGTCCATTCCTTCTAAGGTAGGCTAACTAATTTATATACAATTTATATAATATAAATATTACAAATATCTAATTTTACATTTAACTAACCACATTCCCAACCATATGGCTTCAAGTCATGTAACCACATTCTTAACCATATGGCTTCAAGTCTACCCATAAACATTAATGAAATCCTATCCTAATCTCTAATTTCATCATGACTTATGATTTAATACTATTATTATTATTATAACTATTATTATTAGTATTACTAATATTATTATTATTATTATTATTATTATTTTATATTTACATAAGAATACATTACAATCATAATCATACTTTACCATATGAATATACTACTTTAAGTAACTAATACTGCTTAATACAAACCTTACCAATAAATAAAAAAAATAAATATAAAATATGAATACATGCACAATTAAATTAATTTAATTTAATACATTAACATACACAATAATAGATGAATAACTATCACATTAAATATACAGAAATAATTTAATTTAATTTAAATAAGCCCTTTTTAAACTACGGGGTATTACAGTCACTCTTATGGTTTTTATATTTCTTGTAAAAAGAGACAGAGCACTCTCCGAAAGCGCTCGGGATAGGGAAATCCTCCGTAGCTGGAGAGAACCAGGCTCCCCTAACCCCAATAATGTTTTTCCTCCAACCCTTCTCAGATTTGATCTTATCCGTGCAGATAGACCTCTTCTCAATGGGGAAAAAGTGGTAAAACGGTTCGTCAGTTCTGATCTTGATGACCTTGTAACAGAGGAGGAGATCTACGAGGTCCAGATCCAGACCTCTGTCACGAATCAGGAGTAGCATAACGGATAAAATTCTAAAGAAATTGGGGTTTACTTGTAAAGGGGAAAGATTTAGCTTGTTAAAAACATAGCAAAAGAAAGGATGTAAAGGAAATCTAAGGAGATTGAGGTGGAGGAGTGAAAACAGGGCCTCGCCGGGAAGAAGGCCAGCACCGGTTCTAATATTCACTTCCCGGGGGCAGTTTCTAATTTCTACATCGTCAGGAAGGTGAAGTTTTATGCGAAGAACGTCTAGATCTACTGTCATGGTGAGAGTGGATGAGGATTCTGGGGAGAAGAAAGAAGTCTTCCAAAAGAAAAATGCAAATGAAACTAACCTTAGAGAGTGAAAACGGCAGAGAGTATTGCAAAGCCACTGGAAGGAAGATCTTTCGCAAGAAATCGCCGGAGAGGATTCAAGCAGCAAAAGGTGAGATGGAGACGGTAAAGAGGATCGATGGAGAATCAATGGAGCTTATAAAGACGAGATGAGCCCAAGAGCCGAGGAGTCAGGAAAGCGATGGGTTGTCTTTTTGAATCTCGAAGCGCCGACCCCTAGATCTAACCGTCCATTCTCCCACACGATCTCCTCGAGCCGTCAGGTCATCATTAGCAGCCTCTAATAATTACCCCCTAATCAATAAGGGGTAATTATGGGGGCAGTTGAGGATGCGGCAAGTGGCATGGGCCGGATATGGATCGCGGAAACGAGATCGGGTCGAATGATTGAAGTAGGATCCATGCCAAAGCACCCTGGAATGGGCCGAACCTGGGGGGTCCACCGAGGAAGGTCAAGCCCATTGCAAGACCCAGCCCAGAAGGAAGAGAGCTTTCGGATATAAGCCCAATGTAATTGATTAACTGCAAAAAAGGTCATGGCCTATAAATAGACCATGACGGGTGGAAAGTGGAAAAAAGGCCAGAGAGAGAGAGAGAGAGAGAAGAAACGAAATCTTGTATTTTCAGTATGCATATATATTTAAATGTTTAAATTAATTGACCTTGGACTGATATATATATTTAAATGTTTAAATTAATTGACCTTGGCTAATGAATTCATCAGATTGCATCCACATGTCCTGCCTAATGAGAAGGTTAATGCAAATTAGGGAAATGATAATAGAAGTTTCAGTATAAATATGCTAAGTCACATGTGGAGCGAACGCAAAAAGAAAATGAATAAGACGATGTTACATTGTTCATGGACCATGTAATTTTAGAAAAGTAATAATTAATTTTAGAAATCATGTAACATGGATAATGTTACACGAACGCGTAAAATGAAAATTTCACCAGAAATGCCTTTCGTGGAATTTGTCTTTAATAATAAATTTTAAAAATAAATAAAATTAGTTGATGACACTTGTGATGTATATGATACTCCTGGTCCAGGGACATTATTATCATTTGATTGACTTGTGATTTCAATTATACTCTGTATACTATTGGTCACATGAGACACGTATGATTGACCAACTTAAAAACATTTAAAAAAAGTATACATAAATGCTTAATAATTTCCTCGCAATGGACCAACAATACCAAAGATTAGCATGTAAACGATCTGACTTTCAAATCCGTTTCACACACACGTCTAGCCTAACGCGTATTTGGAAGATTCCACAAAAGTTTAAAAAATGATTAATATAAAGAAAGCTTTAACTTTTGTCTATATAATGACACCCCAAGTGCGCTCTGGTTTTGCCGTGTTCTTTCAAAATTTCATCACTACTCTACATTAAACATCCTCTTTCTTCCTTTGTATTACTTAAAGAGGCGTCACCAGATTTTGAGAGCCATATATTGTACGCAACAGGTAACACTATATATATATATATATATATATATATTGTTATCATATATATATATATATATATATAGGCTTGTCTATTTATTCTGATCTGTATATGATAACAATTCTTTTGCTGTGCGATTAATTTCCTTTATCTTTTCCATTTTATCAGTTTATTTTACTGTTATAGTACAATCCAACATCTTCTTTCAATTGTTTTTTATTTTTTTATTTTTTTTTATCTCTTAACGTGTAAAAATGGAATCTCGGGTAGATGTTTTATAAACATATGAAGAAGCCTACTATAACTAGTTTTTTGGAATTACCCAAAATATATATATATATATATATATATATATAGTTATTTTGGTTTTCTACTGCAGCTTTAACTATAATTGCAACTCTATTTTTTGGTGTGAGCAAGATACTGACTTATTTAAAATCAATTAAATGAACAATTCATAATATTTTATAGTTAGTATAGTTACTTAATTAAAAATCATATATTACCACTGGGCCTTTTTATATATGGTACTATTTGATCGTCGTCTTCGTTACATTATGCCTTTACATAGAACTTCAACAACTGGATAATAAATTATTTCATAGTACGTACTTTCGACTTATATCCACTAACATGTTTTGTCTAAACCTGAGAGCTACACATATAATGACAGAATTGTAAGCCACAGTGATGCATATATCCCTTATAAATTGTGCGCTCAACTGTTTGCATACATAAATCCCTGTCCTGCTCTGAGATCGATGCTTGTTATTTGTAATCATTTCACTTTTTTATCTTTTGAAATATTTGTTGCAGATTGAGAGTAAGACATGAGGGAGAAGAAGGAACCAGTTCTTTCACTCTGGGAAGAGAAGAAGAAAAAACAAGTTCTTTCATTTCTTTCACTTTGGGAAGAGGAGAAGGAAAAACAAGTTCTTCCATTTCTTTCAGTTGAGTCATGCTTCCCAGATGATGTGTCTCCTATATATGCTGATGCTCGACTACAACACCTAAAAGTCCTAATCATTTCAGTCCTGTCATGCTCCCCAGACAAACTGTCCCACAATCCTAAAGTTAAAATACTAGAAGGCATACTCAATTCAGCCGAAACAACATTCCCGCCTCATATGTCCCCTGATCAAGTTCAAGAACTAAAGGACCTAATCACTTCTGTCATTGGAGAAATCCGGCTTGATTTGCTTCCTCCATCGCCAATGTATCCCACTTCATCTCTACAAGTTGGTAAGTCTATTCTTCAGTCTTTTCTCGGTTTTATGAGTTTCTTTCTTTCTCGTTCATCACTTGTTTTTAATTTGTGTACCAGCATAATGTGCTATTAGGTAGAAACTTACTTGTTATGTTTGTTAATATCACTAGCATAAGTCATGACTTGATTGTCTTGCTTGTATAATTTCTGGCAGGGGCTCAACCAACCACAAATCTTACCATGTATGTGCCATTATACCAAGCTGCACTCACAGGTGATTGGGACAAGGCTAATGAATTCATCAGATCGCATCCATATGCACCAGCTGCTAGGATCACGAAACGAGGGGATACAGCCCTTCACATTGCAGCTGGGGCCAAACAGACCAAGTTTGTGGAGGAGTTGGTCAAGTTGATGGATCCAAAAGATTTAGAGATGCAAAACTGCTTCGACAATACAGCACTTTGTTTTGCTGCTGCATCAGGAATTAAAAAGATTGCAGAGGTGATGGTGAAAAAGAACAAAAATTTGCCGGCAGTGAGGGGTAGTAACGGAGTGACAGCACTCCACATGGCTGCTTTGTTTGGTTACAGGGACATGGTGCGATTTCTCTACTCTGTCACTGATGATAAAGATCTAACAAAGGAAGACTATATCGGACTACTTCTTGCTACCATCAGATCTGATTTGTATGGTAAGACTACATTATACTTTACATGCTTTCATATTGAAAAACTACTGTTAACAAGCTAATCAACTCTAACCTGCTATTCTTAGATGTATCTTTGGAAATACTCCAGGTCCTGCCCGAACCAAAATTAGCCATTGAGAGGGATTCAAATGGCGAGACAGCCCTTCATGTTTTAGCTCGAAAGCCTTCCGCATTTTCTAGCACAAGTCAGCTAGGAATCTGGCAGACATGTATATATCCATGTTAGTTTCTCCATTACATTTATAAATTTTTTTTTTTTTGGGTTCTCTTTCTTCTCTCTACTGGTCTTGAAACGCTGACCTAGGGCATGCATGGGAGTTAACACCGAAAGCCACGATGACAAAGGTAGATAATAGATTGCTTCTATTACATTTATAATCATCATAATGTTTTACACAACTCTAAGATTCACTTTGTCACTGTCACTGGTGAATGTAAAACCACTGCTGGGCTAAATCTAATTGCAAGCCTGATTTCTTAACAAACAAGAACGTAACATTAGGCTCACCTATCTTAGGCTCTAAAATAGTTTGCAAAGTTGCTATATTGATTTCCGCAAGAAATATAACTCAATCAGGATGCCAATGAGTTTTAACTTTTTGGATTAGAAATCTCTATGATTGAAATCTTTTATACTGTTTATTTATAAATTTTTGTTTTGACCTTTTCCTTTCTTTTCTTTTCGAAACTAGAACATAAAACAAAAAATACAATGAGGGATAAAATAGCGACAGAGAAGAGGTAAATCTAATGGTGAAATTGAAGTAGAAAATGATGGTAAAATTGAATAGTAAAGTTGAAAATCTTCAGAGATTAGTGGTTGACTGTTCTAGTTGAGGGATCGACATGTACTAGCTGCCATTGTACCAAGTGGTTGCTTGGTTAGGTTCTAAAGCACCACCAGCTAATCTGTGCTCAAGTAAACTGACTTGTACAGGGAAAAAGAAATTAAAGAAAATTAAAATAAAATTAAAAACTGACGTGCACAGGTTTAGCAAAAAATAGTAGTACTAACATTAGATGATGAGGTGCCCAGAACAGAAAACTGCCACTTTATCAATATGGAAAAATCACAAGGGAAGGAAGCTGAGTGGCAGACTACCTGACATAGAAGACATCCCTCCTCATTAAACAAGTTTAAATAAAAGAATGCCTAAGTTGAATAATTATAAGAGGAGGGAATATAGAAACATTTGAGACAAGGAAGCCAAGAATATTTTGAAACTGTTCAAAATTGAAACTTTGATTTCTTCATGATAAGGCTCCCTTGGACACTTTTCATTATGGCAGTTGCATCCTGAGACAAAAGTCTATCATTAAAATTGTTGGATTTGTAAGGTGTCAGTCAAAGTCTACTCAGAATGCAAGACACACCGACTTTTTTACTGTTTGAGAAAAAGCACCATAGGGGCACTAAAATGTGGGGTTAGAAGGGAAGTATTTCTAAGAAGAACAAGGAAGACTTGTGCAAGGAAGACTTCCTGTATGATACTTATTTTTCCCATTAGTCTCCTTGCATGGAGAATGTTCCCGAATACCATTTGAATAGGACAATGTGGTCTTCTTGAGACTAAAATGTAGAAAAAGAATTTGACCTATACAGTTTCTGACACCATGGTAAGAAGATAGTCCAAGAGAGTAGGCTTTACTGAACAACCTAGACAATAGGAATATGAATAGGAAGAAGAATGGACAACTTCTATAAATTTGAGTAACATGGGCTAATCAAAATCATTAGTTTGTATTCAGAAAATATAACAACTTTATTTGTCTTGAAGGGATCCACATGCAAACACCTGATGCATCGGGTAACACCCCTAGCTTGTTCAAATACCAGAATCACAAAAACTCCCAAGGTCTGTTCTCTCTATCTTTATGTCTCTTGAGAACTCATATGATTCATTTATGGCTTGTTGTTAGACTTCGTCACTTCGCAATCCAAATCAAAATCTTCTACGGGACATTACAAACATAAATATAAAACTATTTTAACAAATATGAAAATTTCAGATATGATTTTTTTTGGAATAAAAATTTCAGTACTTTTTCCAGAAAAAAAAAAAAAAATTTCAAATTTATTGAAATATTTTTGGTAGTGTATTGTCCTTCCTACTTATCAAATTTGGTTTTTCCAACAAAATATGACTTTTTTTTTTTTTTTTTTTCCCAAAAATAATAATCATATGCTATTTTGGGTCAGAATCCATTAGGTTTAAATATAAATTCAAAAGTTGTGCCAGGAATTGCAATCTTGCTCTGTTTAACTAGACTACCTTGGCACCTAGCCACTTACCAAAGAAAGAAAAAGAAAAAAGATTTAGACTAGTTTGTCACACAGCAGACGTTATAGATATGACACAAAATTGATTTCTTATCTACATCTTCACTTGTTCATGGACTGACTTAGCTTTACTTCCAACTCTAGGAACAAGGGATGTTCGAGAGGGAAGCATGCCAGCCCTAAAGTTGCTTAAATGTCTTTGGGAGCAAGCTCTGTTATTGGATCTCTCACATATGGGGGACTTACTTAGAAGCCCTTCACGACCATTATTTGTTGCTGTAGAGTTTGGAAACTTTGAGTTTATTGTTGAGCTTATGCGCTCCTATCCTGATCTAATTTGGAAAGTAGATGAGCAAAGCCGAAGCATCTTTCATATTGCAGTTATGCATCGCCAAGAAAAGATATTCAAACTTATTTATGGCATAGGAGCACATAAAGATTTAATTTCTGCTTATAAAGACCCAAACGGTAATAACATGCTACACCTGGCTGGAAAGTTGGCTCCTTCAAATAGACTTAATATTGTCTCTGGTGCTGCACTTCAGATGCAACGAGAATTATTATGGTTTAAGGTAATGGTTAATCTTTTTTAAAACTTTATTCTCATTTAAAATGCATTTTTGTTTTAGTAATGTTTTATTCTTCTCAACATTCAAAGGAAGTGGAGAAGAATGTCCTACCATCATACAGAGAGATGGAAAACACAAAAGGTCAAACACCCCAAATGTTATTTACTGAGGAGCATAAGAAATTGGTCGAAGAAGGAGAGAAGTGGATGAAGGGCACTGCCTCATCATGCATGCTCGTCGCTACGCTTATTACAACAGTGATGTTTGCTGCAATTTTCACAGTGCCGGGAGGGAACAGTAACAAAGGCGCCCCCATCTTTCTTAAAGCCAAGTCATTCATAATTTTTACCATATCAGATGCATCTGCACTATTTTCCTCTGTTACTTCAATATTAATGTTTTTATTTATCCTCACTTCACGATATGCTGAGGAAGATTTCCTTGAGTCCTTACCGAAGAGGTTGATTATTGGTCTTACAACCCTCTTCTTCTCTATAGCATCAATGCTTATTGCTTTTAGTGCAACCTTTTTCGTTCTACTTGGCAATCAACTGGCATGGGTTGTCATCCCTGTGGCACTAGCTACTGCTATTCCAGTAACGTTATTTGCATTTTTGCAGTTCCCACTATTGGCTGACATGATGCATTCTACTTATGGGTCAGGAATCTTTCCTCAGCAAAGTAAAGATAAGATTTATACGTTTGACAAGGGATATCACCCTTGTCATCTATACAACTTACTCATTTACCGGGGAAAGAAAAAGAATATCACCCTGACTGTATAAGATTTTTTAGAATGTAACATTATTCTTAATGTGAAGTGTTGTAATGATTTGATATTGAAAAATCCAAGTTGTGGGAAAACAATATTTTTCAAATATATCGTGTTTACTTCTATATAACTTGGCCATCTCAATATTATCTATGCTGTTCAAACTTAGGATAATTCATCAATCAAGAGCGTAACAGTGAAGTAAGAGGTCCTGAACTAGTGGCATGCCTTCCATGCTAGAAAGAGGGGGATAACTTTATCTTGATTCACTTTTGCATTACCCTTCAAATATACCACATTACATTTCCATCTCATTGGTTATTTTATTAACACAAGATAAATTCGTAGATTCAGACTCAACAATTCAACCCTATCCCTATGACTAAGCAATACACTGAGACAAGTGAGCACCACTTTAGGGTTCATTTGGATAAATGAATGGATTTCAAATCAAGGGATTTGAGTTTACGCAAAAGGTTGGCTATCGAAAGTTGGATTCTGAAGTTCAAGGTGATGTTACTCCGTATAAATTGTTATTTGAAATATATATAAATATTTTTATCTTAAATCCATTCGTTTGAAATCCTTCAATTTAAATGGAACTTTAAGGTGTCAATAGTTCACTAAAGGAGTAAGTAACCACCACTTTTCTTTCCTTCCGCCCAACCAACTTCCCTTCCCTAGAATAATATCCTTCCATCCTCCTATCAAGAAAACAATAAAGTTTAGCATTATTTCGGGCTATTAGGTTCAGGTGACTGGTTTGTTACGGTCTAAATCAAGATTTAATCGGTAAAAATACCAATGAATTTTCTTTTATATATATATATATATGATATATAATATATGTACCCAATTACTCAAATTTTATGAAGAAAAAAGAAAATCTAAAATATGTATCAAACAACAGTAAATCATGTTATCTATAAAGCAGAATCAATTAAAATTTTCTTTCAAAATAAATAAAATAGTACGACAGAGTATTCAAAATCTGCACATGCATGTCAGTGGGAGTGTGTGCGCGCGCGTATAGAGATAATACCGCAGATAGAGCTCCGGTTTTGCCCCAATTCAGATGCGATTTAACCCCAATCGGAAACCTAGCCTCTCAAAAGTACATAACTTAAAAAGAAGACAGAGAAAATGAGTGAGCAGAGAGAGCTATAAAGAGAAAAACTGAAAGAAAGGGAGTGTATTACCGGTCGGACGGCGTAGGATGGAATTGACCGTGTCCACCGGAGCTCCGGTCGACGTTCTGTACTTCAACTTACATCATCAAATTCACTTTAGTGCGAACCTAAAAAGCACATCATAGACGAACTCGTTCTTTATTAAATTCTACTGTTTCTGGTAATTTAGTTTTGTTTAATTTTACATTTTTTTTTACACTGCCATTTCAATTACACAACTTGAAAAATAAGGAAAACAAATGATTTACTTATATTTACAAATTTTAGAGATTGGTTGGTCACAAAACTTGGTTACATGTTAGTTTTAAATTTGAGTAAGGCTACTCACATTGAACATTTATAGTAAATTGTTTAATTAAATAATTTTTAATTTTTAATTAATTATTTAAACCAAATATAATTAAGTAAAGGGTTCTATTTTTTTATTTGTTATATAATTGACTAAATAAAAAAATAATATAACAATTTACTCCAACTATCCAATGTAAAAATCATTTTCCTTTAAATTTTGTTCCACCCCACGTAAATTGACGAGTTATTCTTTTATCATCCCAACTCATTTTATTTGTCAATATCAACTATATGACCCTGGTGCACATGACCAAACCACTTTATAAATTCTAATGTGAAAATTGAGGATATCAAAAGTGGTATTGTAGCCGAGCACCAAGCACTAAGCCAAGTAAATGACAAAGCATTACAAGCCGAATGCCAAACACTTGCGCAAAATAAGTGGCAAGTGGCATTGTAACTGAGCGTCAAGCACTTAACCAAGTAAGTGGCAAATGGCATTATGAGTCGAACACCAAACACTTGCGCAAAATAAATGGCAAGTGGCATTGTAACCGAATGCCAATCACTTAGCCAAGTAAGTGGCAAATGACACTATGAGCCAAACGCCAAACACTTGCGCAAAATAAGTGACAAGTGGCATTGTAGCTGAACGCCAATCACTTAGCCAAATAAGTGGCAAATGACACTATGAGCCAAACGCCAAACACTTGCGCAAAATAAGTGACAAGTGGCATTGTAGCCAAGCCCCAAACACTTAGCCAAGTAAGTGTCAAGTGGCACTATGAGCCGAACGCCAAGTACTTGCACAAAATAAAGGTCAAGTGACAAGTGGTATTCTAGCCGAGCGCCAAACACTTAGCTAGGTAAGTGGAGCCGAACACCAAACACTTGCACAAAATGAAAATCAAATGGAAAAATTAATTTGATAGTTCATATTAGCACATATTGAAGTATAGACGTTTTGCAAAAATAAAATTGTCTTCTCATTCATCATCATAAAAAGTTCTTGATACATAAACACCAAAATGAGAAGAGAAAAGTACAAAAGTCAGAAGAACTTTATTCCATCTCATTTTCTCCCAAGCCTGATCCATTGCCTGCTCTGTCATCATTGGTTGCTTTGTCACCACTAGCTGGTTGATTGCCTCCTTCCCCACCATTGAATGTTTCCTCATCTCTGGAAGGAGAGTCTAGGTGAATGACATCCTTAGCTGGTGAAATTCTTTCAGTCGTAACAATAATTGGAGGGGCAACGGTAGTAATGGGATAAATGTTCAGAGGACGAACAGGGGGGGGTAATCCCTGAGGTTGCAATCTCTTTGCACTCAACAAATATATTCTCAGCAGGAGCAGGGAGTGGATCTTTGTAGTCGTTCAGCGGGTCAATGTCTAGAGATGCATCTAGCTCGTCCGAACCTGCACAGGAGCTGGACTCACCTTCTGGGGGAGATCGGTCAATAAAATCGTCTTTGTACCCCTCAACATATTTGAGAGCCCCGATCTTAGAGAAACGGATGTGAAGCAACCCGACAGATGACGTTAAGCAGAACTGTGCGCTCGTTCAAGAATTTTTCCTCAAAGATGGAATGGGTTAACCGTTCAGCAACTAGAGTGCGCTGAAAGTCCCCATTCTCAGCTTTCAAAGCATCTTTCTCAGTCTACATGACGTTTTTCTCTGTCTTCAGGACCCCAAGCTCGTTATGAAGAGAATCTCGCTCATTTTTCAGAGCATCCCTCTCAGCCCTTAGAACGTCAATCTCCTTCTCTGATTCGTTCAGCTTGGCCAGCAGCTCTGTATTTTTGGCGTCTACTTCCTGCTCAGCTTTGACAGATTTGTTGAGACCGATAGAAAGAGCCTTGATTTTCTTGTTTGCGTGTTTAGTACTCTTCTGAAAGGTGAACATCCCAAATAGGGTTTGCACAAAGACACAAGTGTTCTGGTAAGTACAAGCGTCAAATAATCAGAATAGGAAAAACAAAGGAAGTTTGGAACAGAAGGTAAAAAAATAAAAAAAAATAAAAAATAAATAAATAAATAAAAGAGGAAAAACTACCTCGATAGCAGTTGCTGGGAAACGTTGGTACATTTTATTGAAGGACATTTTGTTCTGAACTTCTATGTCCTTGGGGGTTATAGAAAGCAAACGAGGTAACTGAATCTTTGAATAAATAGTCTGTGGGGGCAATAACTGACCCATCTTCTCGTTTCAGCAAGGGACGCCATAGAACCACTGCTGGTGAAGAGACGGAGGTTTTGGTTGATTCATCTTCAGGAATGGTTGCCTGAGGGAAGGAAGAGTGTTGGTAACCCTGAAAGTCCGAGCCCTCCGAGCTAGAAGAAGGTCACTCAGATCAGAACCACCCTCAGGCTGGGGTCTTTTTCCCAAGCTCTTTTCCGAAACGCTAGTTCGGGCGATGGGAGATCCCTCAGCATTTTGAGAAGAACCCTCAGCGTTTTGAGCATCGTGTGGAGAAGTTTCATTTAAGATTTAAGAGGGTTTGTCGTTCGGCATGACTAGTTGAACTTCAGTCGAGGTGGATACAAAGGGTGCAGAGACAAGCCGCTCAGCGATTTGAGCCATAACAGGGACGGTTGAAATGGTCACAGAGGTGGCTGGTGCAGCCGCATGAGTGGCTGCAGAACCCCTCCTCTTGCTGAAAGAAGGAATCTGGATATTCTCCATGGTGGTTCCAAGAACAAATATATCAGAGAGGTTGTCAGGAGTGAGCAGGTCAGTGGTGGAGGGGATGTCATTCAGAACTCTCTCCTCTGAAGGTCAAGTCTGGCCCAGCAAACGCTATAAACCAATTCATCATGATTGATGTGAAGGCAATTATAAAGAAAAGTGCAGAAACAAGGAAGGCAAATTTCATAAGGGCAATTAGTCAGATGTTTTTATATTTTTAATATAGAGGGACAGAACACTCTTCAAAAGTGGTTGGGATAGGGAAAGTTCGATCGAACGGAGTTCGCCAATCTTTATTGACCCCAATTAAAATTTTCCTCCAACCCTTTTCAGACGAGAGTTTGTCCGTGCATATGGATCGTTTTTCAATGGGAAAAAAGTGGAAGTACATGTCGTTGGTTCTGATTTTGGTAACTCGGTAGCAGAGGAGAAGATCTATGATATCAAGATCTAGATTCCTGTCATGGTTCAAAATTAAGAGAACCGATATTACCCTAAGGAAGTTGGGATTAACTTGGAGAGGGGAGAGCCTTAATTGGATGAAGATATAACAGAAGAATAGATGTAGGGGAAATCTAATTACATTCAAATGAAGAACGGAGAAGGATCTCGCCAGGGAGGAGACCCTCCCCGGATCTCTCATCCAGGTCCGTGGGGTAGACTCGAAGGGAAACATTATTTGGGATGTTCCTCAAATGAAAAGCATACAAATCAAGAGGAGCCATTAAAAAGAGGGGTGAATTTTTTAGTGTTAAGTTTCTTTCTTCTAAGGAAAATAGTAAGGGAAGGAAACTAACCTTAAAGAAAGAGATTTGTAGAGAAATAAAAATCACGGAGGAAAGCTCACCGGAGGAGACGAGGAAAGATCACCGTATAAGACAAGGAAACCTTATCGGAGAAAACTAGTTATTGACGGAGGTGGATGAAAGAGACGATGCTTGAAGGTGGAGATGACAAGAGACTGTAAGCACAAGTGTCTAGAATCTGGGGTTTTAAAGAGGAGATGCCTCAATATCCAAGAGATCACGGCAATGATGCTGCATCAAGTCTCAAGGCGTAGGTCTTCGAGCCAACCATTTGCTTCCCCACATCGCGGCCTCAAGCCGTCTTATCATGATTAGGTCTCGTTGATAATCCCACCCTAACTAATAAGGGAAGGATAATGGGGGCAGATGAGGATACCAAAAGTGGCTTGAGCTAGACGAGACCCAGATCATTAGAAACAGGTTTGGAAAGAGCACACGGTTTAACCAAATCCTCACCGATCAGGCCCAGGACCGGAAGATCAACCTGAAAGCCCAATCTCGTAGCAAAGGAAATGGGCCCGCATCCTAGATGAGCCAAAAGGATCGGCCCAGCATGAAGAGTCAGTTGGGAAGCTTCTAGATCAATTGTAAAGTCTATAAATAGAGAGAAAAGAAAGGGAAAAACCGTTTTTTTGAGAGGAGATGTTTATGAAGTGTAGAATTATTCTGTCAAAATTAAGAAAGGATTTTTCTTGCATCTTCAAAAACAAACTCACAATGTTTGTAAATTAATATAAAGAATTTTATTTTTTTTATAAACTTTTCACCAAATCAAGTATGTTATTAAAGCAATTTCACTGTTAATTTTTTTACTGATAAAAGTTAATTCCAAGAAAATAATTGTTTTATTCGTCCTTTTAAGTATTGAAAGGATGATTTGAATTTTTTTTTTTTTTTTTTTGAAAGGTAATGAAAAAAAAAAACATGGGTTGTCAAAGAAGTAATCTCATATTTACATCCTTTGATATCAAATCTATTTTATGATATTAAAATTTTGTTTGGTAGCACCAAATCAACCCCATTAAGTTGAAGGGAATGGAGTTCAAAAAAATTTGAACTAAATTTTTTATAATTTTAATTCCTGTATATATATAAATATATATATTTATTGACAAAAAATACTCACCAACTCACTTTTTGCTCTTATAAGACTTGAATTGTATATACTTGAATATTCCTATACTTTCGGAGGCCATAAAAAACGAGATCTTTCATCCAATATGTTGATTTGGTGCTCTAAAATGCAACAAAAATGTATTTCTTCCAACACAAAAGCAGGATAAATGCCATCATTTTTTGTAGTGAGAATGAGGAGATCTAGGAAATGGGACATGCGAGGACATGAATGGAGAGATTCCAACTGAAATGGGACATGTGAGGACAGGAATGGAGAGATTCCAACTAAATCAGCGGTCAAGGTAAGTATAATAGCGATATCTTCCCTCTTCTCAAAGTGAAACACGGTGATTCGAGTCTTCTAAAAGTACTATAGAAGTGGGTTTGTGAATCACAATGGATG